CAGCAACTTGGCGTACAGTTACTGCTGTGTTTATGTCGGACAATTACCTGTGAGGCTTTCAGAGCAGCCGGTGAGTTCCGGTCTCAGGAAGGTCTCGCACCATTGCCCGTCGCGTAGCCTCGGTCACAGCTTACAACCTATTTTCAGAGCTTTCACAGCGCTGCCAGCTTAAAGGTCAAGAAGCGCTTTGAACAGGGCAACGCTTTTCCCCCACCCAGTGACTTAAAAAGCTCTCTGACGAAAAGCTGCAGCCTCGCTTTTGGCGTTTGCCGTGAAATTTTCCTGCTGCACTTCAGCTGCAGGCACGGGGTACGTTTCATAAGGCCTCTTCCACAAGGATACCCAAACGGTTTTTACCTCGCTCCTTGTTTTAACTGCCTCAGTAGCGCTCAGCTACTCTGGTCGCAAGAAGAGAACTGACCATCAGTTGGGAATATAGCATTAATGTATACACTGAGGCATGGCAGCAGTTCTCCTTCCCTTTCTAGCCATCTTCCCCTTCAATGTAAGGGAGAAAAAGCAGCACACCTCCCACAGACACGTCAGCCGAGAGCGCAAGTCCCTCCGGTCAGAAGAGCCCGTCGCATCCCACGCCCACCGTTTACACCTGTGAAAGAGGAACACGGCCATCCTGCCTGTGAACGCGACCAGAGCCACGGCACACACGAGAGGTGTTCTGGAGCACAAGCCGCCGGCAAGGCAGAGCTCAGGGGTGTCTCTGGATTGAAGATGTAAAGCTACAGCCCCAGCAGACTTCTGCAGTGCTGCTCTGGCCCCTTACAGAAACTCTCATTGTCAAAGTTGGGGCTAATTCAGCACTGCAACCGAATGCCAGGTAAAGTCTACCAGCCCACCTGAGATAAGACTGTGGAGCATCGGACCCTGGAAGAGCGCACGCTGCCCGGGCTGGAGGATCTGTACGGCAAGAGAACGCCTCTTGCGGCCGCACGTCGCTCTCGAGCGCGGAGAGCCTTTCCGTTTATCGACTCCTCTTTTGAGGCCTCTCTCCAAAGCTCGTCGCGAGCGTCCGACACGGGCCAGGGTTCTCTAGAAAGAGGTCAGCACGCTTTTTGCTCAGCGCAGTTGAAAGAAAAAAAAAAAAAACCCGAGACCAAACTGGTGTTCCATGGAGCTTTTATTGACTTTAATCAACAAAATCAGGATTTTACTATTCATCTTTTTCGCACTCAGAACTCACAAAGCTCTTCGTGAGTCAGTGCTGCGACGCACATACAGCCGGAGAAAAGACATTCTCAACAAAATCTGAGCTCCACTGGAGAGTTTGCCAATTACTGATTTAACAGAAAGCCAATTTTCCCTTCCCTCCCCTGAATGTTTTCAAGGACTAGTCCATGTTGTTTGCTGGTTAACAGTAAGAGTATCAACCTCTTGACTCGGGACCAGTGGATTACGATATTCCACCTGAATTGCAAATAATTTCTTTTCTTGAAATAAAAGTTCCAGTTTCTTTCAATAAAGGGAACAGTGACTATTTTCTTCTCCTGACACCCCTTCCCCGTAATTATTGGTTAAAATACAGCAAGGCTGTATCTTAATAAACCCATCCCTCCCCCCACCCCTCCCTACCCTTCCCTAACTTGTCTACAGCAGAATTTAACAATGCTTCCACGTAGGGACATTTTAGCAACACGAACGGTGAACCGAGCAAAACCTATAGGATAATCTGCCAAAGCCTCATTTTGAAGATCGGATGCGTGCTCTTTGGTCCAGAGACCTCATTTATGATAAAGATACACTGGGATTCACAAAAGATGGACCAGAAGTTCACAGCAATCGGGAAATTCTCCACGTGGACTACTGGTGCCCAACCTTTGCCACGGCGGCCATACCGCTGGAGTTCCTGGGAACAAAATTCACTTCGTCCTCAGGAAGCAACAGCTGCTCGGCCCCAGCGGCATTACAGAGTCCAGCACCAGGGCGAGAACCACCGTGACGACAGCTCAGGAGACGTGTCACAGCATCTCCGTAACCTCTAGAACAGAAACCGAGGCAGGACAGCCGTCTGCTCAGGTTTGTGTCCTATCAGGCATTTGAAGGGGAAAAAAAAAAAAAACCAAACAAAAACCACCAACCACAAAAAAATCCCCAAAAACAAGCGTGTGAAGCATTTTTAAATCCTCGGAGCAGACACCCTCCCCCACCCCAAGTAAAAAATAAAGAACAAAAGATCAGAATGAGATGATTTGATACCAACACGCACGCAACATGAATTCATGTTGAGCTTCCCTGTTCTTACCCACAAAAAAAAGTCACAGAGGGCAAAGGAAAGATGCTCCCATCTCATTCTGGAAATTGAAACACGTATTTGAGACCAACCCACCCCCCTCCCTTTGGGAAAAGCCCTCCTGCAGTTGTAGTGCACTCCTGACAGCACACACCCGGAGACCAGCCTACAGGTTCTCTCGAGTAAGCCGGCTAAAGATTCATGTCACCCTCTTCACAGCTGCTTCACCCAGCTGTGAAGCTCCATTTCATCAGATTCATGGAGTGACACTTCTGGACTTCCGAGGGGAAAAGCGCAGACTACATGAGATTCTCATTCACGTCCTCTTTGTCAGAAGAAGCGTTTGACCTAGGGCTCATCACCGAAGGCTCCCACTAACGCATGAATGTAAAGGCTGGTCCGTGACCAGCAAAAACAGGAGCTCACAAGGAATCTCAGGAAGCCAAGATTTATACACACTCCTTACTCCTGGGTAGGGGAAAAAAACAACAACAACAAAAAAAAACAAACCCCAAAACAAAACAAAATTAAAAAAAAAAAACACAAAACAAACCCAAAAAAACTAGGATTAACCTAGTCCTTTGGAGCATCTTTCCATCTGCAAGATCGCATCTGTTAAGAGATAGCCCACTAGCACCAAAAATAGGCTACTTCCTTCTTGACAAGAAGCCACCTAAAAATGGTGCCCCCGATAGTTTAGGTAAGTGCCAATCCTCAATTAGAGGCCAAGTTTAAAGTAATACTTTCAAAAGTTCTGTGCTTCAAGAGGGACCATCAAGGCATGGCACCAGGCTAACCTACCACAAATCCAAGCAGAGCACACACGTCTGACTCGACATCGCTATCCTGTTCTTGTGACACGTGCATGCCCTGGTAAGATACAAAACTTTTATTTACATTTTTCATGTCTTTGTTGCACTAAAATGATCCCTCTTCTGTCTCTCTGGAAAATCATATGCTGGCTGCAGTACAAGAGCAAGATTTTACTTTTGGTCAAAGTTGAGATGTTCTGGAGCAACTTATCTCCCCCACCCCCCACACCCCCCCCCCCCCCCCAAAAGCACCCCAAAATTGTTTACATTTAGTACCTGCCAGTCAGATATAAGCTGTGTGGCTCACAGAGTGTCTGTGACCAAGCTCTTGAGTTTGTACTCTAGTGCAGCATTTGCTACAATTATGGAGTCCCTGCTGACAAA